CTGGCTCCACTTCGTATGCAGTGCACTTATGTGTCCAATTTAACACCTCTGGTTGTCAGATGAATATGGATCCGTCACTGCAATTTGAAATGGCAAGGAAAGAGAAGTATTTGTGGCACACCCGACCCACTAGTATGTGTTCCACCACAAATCCCACATATCATGAACAGGTGTCGAACCTGCCCCGCCAAGGTGGACAACTACATCTTATATGCTGTGTCCAAATTATTACTTTCGGTTTCTGCCATCTTGTAGTGATCAGTTTGGCAGACTCAACTGAAATGTAAAGACATATGAGTGTGTCACTGAGTTCTGCAGTAACTGGTTGTGGGTCGCCACAGCTCCAGCGTGTGTGGTGAAGTTAGTCTGATCCCGGCTCCCGAGTCAAGCTCTCCGAGACAGACTCGTACTCAGCCTTAAAGGATGAGTCGTACCAAAGACCATAGTGTGACTAGAAGTAACAGATCAATTGAAAAATCCAAGAATCCCATCGGGGATATAACATACGACCTTCTGGTTTGTAGTACAGTGCCTCAGCCAAAAAAGCAATCGTCCAACCCCCCCCCGAAGACACAGGGTATAGCTAAAAATTAATGTTTGGAATATTCATACTGCATTATGTGAAACATAAAATAAATCAAGCCTAATATTTCAGTAACTATATCCAGCCGAAACGCAATTACCCAGCTTCCAGTTTACATCTAACTAAATCCATTGGGCTCAGCCATTCAGAAAGCGCCAATTGTCCAGGTACTCAAGAATTTCCCCACATTTCATTCAACCCGCGTTCATAATGGCTTTCCACTGTTCCCTATACTGGACCAGATCAATCCAACGCATGCAACCCCATCCTGATATCCATTTTAATTTTATAAACACTTATATGTCTTGGTCTTCCTATTGGCACCTTCCTCCTGGCATTTCTGCTAATATCCTCTACGAGTATGCATTTTTCTTCCCATTTGTGCTACATGCCATGTCTATCACATACTCCTCGACTTCATTATTCTACACTTGGCGAGGAGTACAAACTATGAAACTCCTTATTATGCACTTTCTTCCAATCTCTGTCAGTTCATCCCGTTCTGATCCATGTATTCCACTCAGCATCCCGCTCTCAAACACATTCATTCGGTCAGGGTTCCTCCTTCAATATCAGAGACCAAGTTCACACCCATTCAAAACTACAGGCAACTTTATAATTCTGAATATTGTAATTCTTACGTTTTTAAGCAGCAGATTACAACACAATATCCTCAATATGATGAAAAGCTGAGTGTGGTTATGAGACCCCCGATGTGGTAATTGTGAAGAAAAAAAATGTTCGTTTTGTAAATAACTATGGCAATGCTTACAACCGTCTCTACATTTTAGAATAAGACATTACATCCATAAATAAAAATACGTTTTAGTTCCGTGGGTGATAATAAGAGGAGGAGGGGTGATATTTACGAAGCTTCAGCTGAAGTACAATTAAAACGGAGCAAGTGACAGAGACCTTAAAGTCAACACAGCCGCAGCCTGATTCTAACCACTACATGAATCACAGTGTTGTCTGATTACAGCAAATAGAGACCAGTTATGATAAATCCTGTCTGATGGAATGTGGCGCCGTTCAGTTATCAATAATGAGAGGAAACCCGTTGCCTATAATTCCGGAGCATGCCTTTTGAATTGATTAAAAAAGAATAAAACTCATAACTCAAATTCGACAGAATCGCATATGCCTACCTCAAACTCATAGACACTTCTGTTTATATGATATACTGCAAATATACATACATTAAATTAGCTCATGTTTCACGCTTATTCTATAGAAAAGTATAGAACCATCGTAAATGCAATATTCTTATGAAAATATCTATAAAGATTTAAGTTATATATTTTCCCCTCTAGACATTTGCAACAATCTTCTACATGAGCATTACCTTCGGCTTCCCACTCTTATATGCTACGCTGGTTATGGTCGCGTGCAGTCAGCTGCAGAAGCTCAGAACGAACCTCTTGGACATAAAGCAAGAACGGGTTCCATCAGGAGCTGAGTCTGGCAGTGACGGGGGAGAGGAGCCTGGTTCCCAATTCTGCCGCATGCAGACACAACTGAACGAGTGCGTTCGGCACCATCAAGCCATACTGAAGTACGTCATTACTTTCACAGTACACGTGAGTTCATTACAGGAAGTGGTAAAGGTAAGGCTGTCCCTCTGCTCACTAAACACTACGCCATGAAGACGTATTTGGGAGTTTAAGGAGAGCTATGCTTTACTTATCCTGGGCAATAGTTGGAGGCTAGTTGAGTGAACATCTCAGCCGTTCTACCCCAGGAGGAAGACTCTCAGGACTAAGAGATGATTGGTTGGGCAGAACAGACTGTCTGGATGCCGCGGAGAAGAGCAAATTCCTGCATCGCTGGGAATCCAAAAGAGGCCGCTCACCCCGTAGCAGTTGTTATACGGCCCAAGCCATTCAGACTCCCATAACTGACAGATAGTAATAATCTTCTCGCTTATCTCTTTACAATTTCAGGTACATGCGAGCTATGGAAGACACACTGAACTTCTCGTTTTGTGGTTTGTTCCTGATACTGCTTTCTACACTCTGCTTTGTTTCCTTCTCTGTTGTCGCGGTAAAGTATCTCTTTCTCACTATGCAGTGATATTTCTGATAAATTTTCGTCTAGTCTCAACATTTATTCTTTCTACGTATCAGTTCATAATAAGACAACGATTTATTGTTATTTTTGCCACAAGATCTATATATGATGTGTCTAAAGGAACTGAGGATTTATAAAGAAAGTTACCAGTGCAACAGGCCGTGGAAGAACATATGATCGTCACACGTCGAGACTCCAACATTTTGCAGAGTTAGCACACAAATGTCAGTGAGACTGTCAAACTTAAGAGCCGAACGCCCTTTTATCCGAAGGGTGATACCTGATTCTCATTTCTTTTAGAGACTGAGTCGACATCAGGACGTTCAGGACCATATTGCGGCTGGTAGGATTTGGTAAATTAAGAAAAATCTAATTACATCGGGAATCGAATCCACGACCATTTGGCTGGCTTGCAGCATTCAGCCTCAGCCAACAACACTACCGCGTGCCCCGGGGATTTATAAAAGAGATTTTGTAATACTGATCATTTCCTAGATACTTTTAACTCATTGAATTAGTTTATTCTTTAATCTCTTAGTCAAAAATGGTATCGATTCCATCTTTCGAATTTACAGTCTGAAGGTAGAAAAGCAATCACTTACATTTCGACCAGATGAACGGAATAAATTATCAGATATCAATGAATGAGCGTAATTTCATAAAACAAATTATGTTAATTCAAAAACCCTATAAAACCATACTCGAATACAGGAAATTAAAGTAAGAATGCAGTATTCGTATCTGAATATTGTACATATTTTCTACTTTTTCTGAATAGCCAGTCTCTTCATGTCGGTACCCAGTCCCCAAACACATTGCAATAACTGCAAAACACATTCACGGGAAAGTTGAGCTTCATGCTTTCAACGTGTAATGGGCCTATGCTGCAAATGCTAATGTGGCTATTCAGACAAAACTTAGGCAACGCTTACGAAAAGAACTCTCTTAAAGTTCTAAATATCCAGAGTTATTTTTCCTATGACATTACTGAAATATAAACGAAATTTTCCTTTAAGTTCCATAAATAAAGGAATGTTTCTTTAACGCCTTTCAAAATAAAAATAAGTGTAATTGTGGAGAAAACAATATTGTTAAAAGAAATATAGTAAAATAAGGAAATAGGAAGGTCATATATTTTCAAGTAAATTAAATACAACGATGTAAAATTCATCACCTTGAGACATAAACCGAATGATATCTCTAAATCTTTTGAAAAATATGAATAAGTAAAAACGTAAGGAAAATGTTCATTAATTTCATCTGCCACATGTAAGTATTGATCTTAGCTTAAGTACATGTTACCACATAAATATAATAGGCTCATAATATACAGAAGTAAACAATTTTTATTTTGGCCATATTTTATATAAATTTTAAAAACAGAACAAAAATCCGCAAAATTACATACAGCGGGATGTAAATTGCTTGCGTCTAGCATCATGGTCATCGCGATATCAATTGGAGAAGAGGAAAAATTGCTTGATGCTAGCATCATGGTCATCGCGATATAAATTGGAGAAGAGGAAAAATCGCTTGCTTCTAGCATCATGGTCATCGCGATATAAATTGGAGAAGAGGAAAAATTGATTGCTTCTAGCATCATGGTCATCGCGATATCAATTGGAGAAGAGGAAAATTGCTTGCTACTAGCATCATGGTCATCGCGATATCAATTTGAGAAGAGGAAAAATTGCTTGCTTCTAGCATCATGGTCATCGCGATATCAATTGGAGAAGAGGAAAAATTGCTTGCTTCTAGCATCATGGTCATCGCGATATCAATTGGAGAAGAGGAAAGATTGCTTGATGCTAGCATCATGGTCATCGCGATATCAATTGGAGAAGAGGAAAAATTGCTTGCTTCTAGCATCATGGTCATCGCGATATCAATTGGAGAAAAGGAAAAATTGCTTACTTCTAGAATCATTGTCATCGAGGTATCAATTGGAGAAGAGGAAAAATTGCTGGCTTCTAGTATCATGGTCATCGCGATATCAATTGTAGAAAAGGAAAAATTGCTTTCTTCTAGCATCATGTCCATCGTGATTGCAATTGGAGAAGAGGAAATAAGTAACTTAGGCACAAGGAACAAAAACACGAATGGTTCACTTTACTATCGTGCCATAATGTAGGCCTATCGTTCAGGTCACTCTTCCCTTGACATATATATATATATATTCCAGGTAAATGCATTTACATCACGATTTCATAATCTCTATAATAAATACCTAAACCAATTTATAACTCGGATATTGAATACGGAAATATTTGAAAAAAAAATGTATATGTAGACCCAAAACTTCTGAGCAAATGTTCCTTCTTATCTAGAGCTGGGGAGACATAACCGACATGGCTCAAATTCTCTACCTATACGGACTGATGATGGGTTACGTTTGTCTATTCTGCAGACTTGGGACGGAACTCACGCTACAGGTATGTGGAAACTGTACTTGTATTTGTACACGCTGACTGGTATGTTCCACATTCATTCTGAAACATGCGTAGGGTCTACTGTTCCAGGCAGAAAGGGTGAGAGACGCTGCCTGGGGGTGTGACTGGGTGGGAACTCCTGTCCCATTTCAGCGTTGTTTGGCCTTCATCATTGCCACAGCCAACAAGGAGTTCACACTCACAGCCGGGAAATTTGTTCCCGTGTCCAACTCCACCATGATGAGTGTAAGTACATTCCAGTGCATAAGAAATGGAATGATTTAAATTACATTAGGCTCATTACGTGTACCACCTCCCCGTGTGGAGGCAGGGTCGAATGCCTCCAACGTGACCCTGCGAGTCGTAAGAGGCGACGAAAAGGGAAGTCTCAAATCTGAGACTGAAACATATTGTCCCGAGTCCCAAGAAACTCGGACACGAGAGAAACTGCACTGGCAAGAGCCAGCAGCATATACAAATGGCAGAACCGTCCTCTCGTCAGAGAGAGCGCCCCACAAAACAAGACCGTAAATGCAAAACAGTAATAAATATCTGGTCATGAGCCCCAGATGGGGGTCGACACCAAGACTTACTGACTGGTCGTCAGTCGCAATGTGACTTGCACTTGGACATGTACCACCAAAGTCCACAATTCTTTAACATCTAAAGCTTCGAGAAGACTAAATGTGATTATGTGACTTCGTAAGATTAACCGCGTTGTTATCCAGTGAGATGCCAATATTTCGGATACTGTCCTCATTTTCAGGAACACAGTTTAGCTATACGATCCATAAAGAAGTTGATGAATTTTCAACTACCCTCTAATACAAGACAATTATTAAACAGACCTCAGCCCTTCTAGAGAACCTGCCAATTGGGCAGATACTCAAGAATTTCGCAGCATTGTACAGAACCCGAACGTTAATTACCGTGTTCACGAGAGCCTTCCACCGGTCTCTGTCCTGAACCAGATATACAAAATACATATCATTCTACCCTATCTCTCTAAATCCGATTTACTATTGTCCACCCACCAATGTCTTGGTCTTCCCAGTGGTTTCCTTCTTTCGGCTTTCCTACCAATATCCTGTATGCGTTCTTCCTCACGCCATTCGTCCTAAATATACTGCGCATCTCATCCTCCTTGATTTGACGGTAATCATACTTGGAGAAGAGTACAAGTTATGAAGCTCCTCATTATGCAGCTTTTTCCAACACCCTGTTCTCAAACACCCTCAGTCTATGTTCCTCCCTTAATGTCAGAACCAGTTTTCACACCCATACATAACCACAGGCAAAATTACAGTTATGTATATTCTAATTTTTATGTTTTAAGACAGCAGACGAGACGACAAAAGCTTCTGGATTGAATGGTAGCAACCATTACCCGAGTTCAATCTCCTCTTAATTTCCTCCTCAATCAGGTTTTGATTTGTTATCGTCGTTCCAAAATATCTTAACTATGTCACATTTTCAAAATATCTGTTACCTATTTTTATGTTATGGTTTTGTCCTGCATTTTGGTGACGATACAGCAAACATATGTACTTAGTTTCCTTTGTGTTTACTTGCCTTCTAAGCATATGTGCCTATATAAATTAGTTTAATTACCTATCTCATCAGAAGGAACTCTCTCCGAGCACATACCTGGTTTCAAACAACTTCAGTCACATGCTTTCTTTTCAAATTGCAAATGCTTACAATGCACAAGTACTAAGTACAATAATAAAGAGGATAGAACATATTCATTAAAAATCGAGATGTATGAACAATAAGCAACTTATGTGTGATTATAATGGATTTGGTATTCCACTCTAAAATGATTCCTCTAGATTGAAGCATCGCTATTGCATACTGTTATTCCATCAAGATTAGCAAACTTGTAGCTGCCATTCCAGAAATCTCTCAGGTCATTGAACTGATGTGCCCTGTGCGAAGGTTTAGTAATTTATCTTTGAAATTTCACCAACGTTTAAATTAATTTGTAGCAATTCTTTATAAAACATGAAATATTGTGTTTGTCACTAGATAATGAAAGAATCCATCTCCCTCTTCATGTTTCTACTAACCATGAAGGACAAGAGTGAAGATACTGTCACGGAGTAGCCTACTCACCATGAAGAACAAGAGTGAAGAGACTGTCACGGAGTAGCCTACTCAGCAACAGAAACTGGAAACTGTGTCTGCTCCGCACTGCAGTATTTATTGTGTTTTGTCCCCTAATACTGATTTACAAATTCCACTCTGGCACAACGAATTGCATAATGCTTCAGGAAAAGTATTATTTTTGACAAAGTATAAAAAGCAGACCACCACTCTAAGTAACTACTCGGATCTGAGGTCACAATTAAGAAAATTTTGCGCCCAAATTTAAATGCTCATTTATGTCAAACTACGCTTAACGGAAAGAGGACAAACATGCAATAAATCTGTTCCTCAACTTAAATTTCATTACTAAGTGCAATACAGTATAAACAATGGCACTTTCTTTTCACAATAGAGAAAGCATAGGACAACTTGATACTCTGAGGTTTAGAGAACGATATTTACTGCAATACAAGTGTAAAATATCTGTATTAACTTTGTAACAACACAGTACCCAGCATATATGTCACATAGCAAATTTCTATCTTACTCTGTTATACAAATGTTTTGTTCAAATTTCCGTCCCTTATATAAACTTCAAACTCATAAATTTCTACATTAGTAATTACATACTGAAACAAATCATGTGAGTGATTTACGGGCTGTAAAATTCAAAATTTATCACCATTCATACAGAATACGTTCATATACCGTTTATCAATTCCAGGGGACCCATGCTTCCTCCACGGTACCTATGTCCGCCTGTCTTCTGTCCATTGGCCCATCCCCTGAATAAGTGGTATAATCACGAGTTTCCAACATCGTGAAATTCTGTACGATCAACAGGGAGCCAACGTCCTTCACACTATTAGAACCATGTCAGTGTGCATTTGAGAATTTAGCAGAACTGGATTATTATGATTACTGAAACATTTAATAATATGTATTCACGACACATGACTCAGGAAGTTCAAGGAAATCAAATCACCTGATGAATCCTGGCTTCGGATGAAAGATATTTTACGTATGTCTCTATGGGAAATACACAACAACGTGACTATCCCTACAGGTATAGTTAAGGGAATTGATTCAGTAGGATATAATAACACTAAAGGATATCACCAAAATTGAATAGCAATCTTAGGAAATAAAGAAGTCACATAAATAAAAAAAATACAATTACATCACAAGTTCTTTCCTAGAAAAGTAGCATAATTTCCTGTAGAGAAATAAATTTTTATACCTTTTCAATATCCCTTATTTCCTTTAAAAAATAATGAGTTGAAACTAAATTCAGTTGACGTTAGAAAGCAGAAAATGCTAAAATGAGGATCGTGTGAATTGAAAATTATTTTGAATTTTCAGATTGTAGTATTTCCAATTGACGAAAGTTTTCCCTCATATCTGACAGCAGGTACAGGCGGAGATGAATAATTTTTCTTTTCTTTCAAGTTCCTTTTCAGCTGTCTGGTCATGTGGTTTAACGTGAGAACACATAAAATAATTATGAATTTTGTCCTAGCATCTATCAAATGCGACTAAGGAAAATCAAAATAGTTAAGACAGTCTTCCTTCAATCAAGTTAATTCAACTTACGTTAATTCGTTCAGATTTGGTGAATTTTAAGTTCTCTCAAACTTGTGATTATAAGGAGTAGTAGCCCGAAACTCAAAGTTGTGTAGTTCAGTAAAATTCTTTTGAGGGTTTCAGGTACAGATATCGCCTCCAAACTCAAAGCGTAAGAGAAACTCAAGCATGAAACTACCAATGAAATGAGACCGACCAAGAACTCCTCACAGAACAAAACGCTTGTTATCCTAAATTACTAGCGATGATAACGGTTCTATATTTGAATCCCTACCAGTGACGCAAATATCCGTTCAAGCGATCAGTTTGGGTGGTGAGAGTGTGCGTGACAGCGCTCGCGCTCTCGTTTTGATGAACATAACGTTACTGCAGTATTGTCACGTATTAGGGGTACGCGTGACTAATAACTGTCGGCTCTAGATTTCATGATAGGATCTATGGGACGTATCTACCACAATTACACTTGAGTACAAGACCTCACACATTGAACCCCTTGATATCGTAACTCTCACTGTGGACTAGATCCTGAGCTGATCTCCAGTCTCTACACTTTGCTGTCTGGATCTCTGAATGTGGGACTGAAATATAGAACCGAATATAGATCACCCGGTCACACAGTTCATTCCTCTCTTATTCGCGGTTTCCACGAAAAGTCACAATCTCCAGCCAAACGCTGATTTATACAAGTATATTCATTCCCGCAGGAACGTGTTTCAGCTAACCGTTGTCTAGCAACAGACGTCTGTGTTTTTCTAACAGCACACTTCCGGAGTTAAAATGCATGTCACAGTATGCTTCTGGTTCTTCGAAGGATTAACGAAATCAAACAACCTCACGAAGGAATTCAGATGTTGGAAACAAAATGAGCACAAATGTAACATCCGTGCAAGACTTGAACTCCACCGAACGTCTAAAATAAACTGCGCCACTAGACTACATGATCTGACCAATGTTAACAGGAAATAACAAGGACGCTAGGAAACTGAAATTGCCTGCACGGGTACAAAATTTCAAAATTGTATATCTAACCAGCCAATGGGAGGAAGGGGGAAGACGGGATAATTCTGTCAACATGTAACAGAAAAATCTATAAATATACTGGAAATTGAACATAAAGAAGAATTTCAAAAAAACTGCTTCTATTCAGAAAATAAGTATATTGGAGGATTTGCGAAAATTCCGAATATAAATATTGTGTTGTGAGCATGCAAACACTGCGACGAGATAACCATGTTCCCCCTCTCAGTATGAAGTAACACTTATACAATGTCAAGGTCAAGCAGCTGACACCTTAAGCGTAATTACACAAAGAGTAGATATTGATAAAATATACATAATTTCTCTAAAACTGGCCGAGAAACTCGGTTAATTGTTTGAATCCTTGACCTAACAACTTCTCCGTGTCGTTAATTACATAATTTTCCAATATATCAGTTGAAAATTTTCAGCTGAAGTTCATTGCCTTCCTGAACAAAGTAACTGCGCTTCTGAGTCACGCAAAGGCAGAAGGAAAATGAAGACCTCAGTGAACTTCGTGGCTCATAAATATTGCACGAAAACAGTGGACCGTAGCTCAGGGAGGCCTGTACAGATATGCTGAAGAGATCCCTGAGCTCGTCAGTTGAACGCCGTAGCCCCTGAGAGGCAGACGTCCGTGTGGGCACTGTCGCTTAGACTGAAGTGTATGTACAGCAAAATTGTCTCGCTTCACATTCTTACGTACTTGTGCCTGTAAGTAAGGAATTTTGTGATGAACACGAAGGATCCGCAGGCGTGTGATGTGACGGAGAATCGCTTTCGTACCATTTTAACGTTCCTGAGAATGGCAGGCATCCAAATCAACACGAAACATGCATCTATACTTCATTCAACCTGCAACGTCCTGATGGCAATCAATGCTTACGCCCTGGGTCTCGCATTTTATATGGATATCATCACACATAACGATGACTTGAAGAATTTTATGAAGTCTTTGCGAATACTGATTTCCAGTTCAGTCGCATATTGGGTGCATCTTAAAATGAGGTAAAACAAACATCACATCCTCTTGTCGTGCCATACACAACTTACATCCTAGTATCAGAAAGTGTGTCAGTGGCTACATGAGAACATTATACACAAAAACCAATCCTAATACGAGACTGAAGGTCCGAATATGGTGATGTAAGTGAATGTGCAAGTGATACGTTTGTGAAAGTAGAGAAATATACATCCTTTATATCCTACGCGAAGTTTCAAAACACTAAACGACATTTAAAGTTTTGTGAGATTTGAGGTTCTCTCAGCGGTAACTACTGTATTCTGATATGTGAGAACGTGTAGTCTGCTATTAGTTTATCCATATTTCAAATGGTTCTGAAGGAGGTAATCCTTTCTTCCTAAACATCGGTGAACTAATCATGTAAACATCGAAAAGCCGCTATAACTTATCATTTTGGTTTCGGTGAGTGTATAATAGCGGGGTGGATGCCGCACCTTCAGAAAGTTACGACATGTGTCTATGCATTCACAGCTTTCTTCCATCTAGTACACTCTGGAGTACGGATGTATACATCCCATGAATTGATACACAGCGCGTGGTACCCTTTTGACATTGTCAGCAGTCCGGGATACGAACTCGTTATCATCATGCAGGTAATTCCGAACCTTAATAACTTCCCAATGAAGCCATGTAAACAAAAGTTAGTTTCATGAAGAATTAAACTGCGTTGGTCAGGCTAAAGTAGGGATTACTTAAAATTAAATTTAATTCGAGGTGGTCCAGAAGAAACTCAAGACCCAGTAACTTCTTGAAAATCCATGAACATTTGAAAGTACATTAGTTATTCAGTGAAAGTTTTACACAGTTCCAGTATTACTGGAACTTGTCGTACAGTGTGAGTCAAATTACAATTACTCCTGAAACAGAAATTAAACTACATTTTCGAATGGACACATATTTTTGAAAACATCACTCCCATTCCTCTATTTATAATCAATTTACGTCATGTTTGTATATTTGTAATTTCAATTAAAATAAATCATTATTTTTGTACCTTATGGAATATTTGCATGTGGTTTAAGTCAGTAACTTATCTCAGCGATTTGTTATCTAATATCTGTTCACCACAAAATTTTGAGTTTGCTGACGACTAAACAGTGTCCGTTATCTTATCTAAGTGATTCTGTATTACATAAACACTACATGTGAAAGAACATGTTAAAATAGGCGACATATCGGTTTCCCTATCCACTTCTGTATACGCGTGGAGGGGTCACTCTGGCTCCACTTCGTATGCAGTGCACTTATGTATCTAATGTAACACCTCTGGTTGTCAGATGAATTTGGATCGGTCACTGCAATGTGAAATGGCAAGGAAACTGAAGTATTTGGGGCAAACTTGCACAGCGCTGCGTGTTCCATCACAAATCCCACATATCATTAACAGGTCTCGAACCTGGACCGCCATGGTGGGAAGTCAGTCTGGAAGATCCTTTGCCTTACTCCTCTACACCTTTGACTACTGAGACACTTAAGACTGTGGTGTCTTTAGCGCCGATTTGTGAATTAAAGGTAACAGAGAAAAAGCTAAAGCTATCCCTGTAACAGTCAAGACGCCCCATAGGGTAGTGAGACGTCGAGGCTCCCACATTTTCTCTAGACAACTGGCTAACAGATGGCGGTAAGTTTGTCAGCCTTTCGCGCCGACCGAACTTCACACCCCAGAAATATCCCTGCCACTCAATTCTGTTAGAGTCCGAGTAGAACCCAGGGGCTTAGTGCGGCTGGAAGGATTAGACAAATTGAAAAGAAATCCACCTCATCGGGACTCGAACCCGCGACATTCTGCATTGTAGCATAGTGCCTCCATCAACTACGTGACAGCGTGACCCGGTATTACAGTAAGAAGTAAAAAGTGTCTCTGGCTATTCGAATGAAAGCAGGGATTTTCCATACAGTGCGCACTTCTGTGCAACATGGACCTGAACGCTGTGTTGAAATGCATGGGAACTAAAGGA